TTTGAGCGATAAAAAGTATAACTATTGCACTGTGTTGTACAGCTGAAATTAATTTTTTAAAAAATGTTTATTTCACAATAAAAAATAATAAAAAATTAAAAAGTCTAGATTTGGATAGCAGATTAGAAAAAAAACATGGTCCAACTATATGCAGTCTACGAGAGACATGCTTTAGACACAATAGGCTGACAATAAAAGTATGAAAAAAGATATATGATACAAACAATAACCAAAAGAGATCTAGAATGTCTATATTATATAAGACAAAATGTACTTTAAGATAAAAATTGTTACTAGAAACAAAGAAGGACATTTAAAAATGATAAAACAGTTGATTAATCAAGCAGATATAGCAATTATAAATATAAATGTACCTAACAACAGAGTCCCCAAAATACATGAAGCGACAGATGATAGAACGGAGAAACAGTTAAATGATAATTAGAGATTTCCATACCCCACTTTCTTTGCTTTTCAGAGTTAAAGTGTACTATTTCTTTGCAAAAATGTATCAAGAGTAGTTAGAACAGTGCTTGCCTTCTTGTCATATAACTTACAATACAGAGTATCTTTTCTATGCCTTGGTAAATTGTTAGCCATCTTTCTAAATTTGGATCATTTCCCAACATTTTATCCCTAGAACTTTCAATGCCAGGAAATACCTGAGAGTTCCTTTAATGTGATTTCTGCCCCCCCCCCCATCACTTCTTCTTGGATATCTTCATCTTTTTTGTCACTTTCCTCATTTATGGCAATAAACTCACCTTTGATAAGTTTCTTTGGTTTCATATCTTGAGTCTCAAGGATGGCTCCAGTGTCAACATTCTCTTACTCAGCTATATTTTCTAAACTCCATTTATGTTCAATTTGAATTACACTTCCTGCACTATCACTTTTAGTTTCTTTCTTCTCTGCCATTTTTGTTAGACAATTCCTTCCACTTATTGTCCATTTTTGTAAAATGTCATATGGGTTATCACTGGAAGACAAGGAGGCAACACAACTACAAACTTTGCTGTCTGTATATAAATTGAAAAATAGGTGCACTATGACCAATCACTGACAGACTTTGAAAGAAATGACATGATTGTAACTGATTGTGGTGCACATATTTATAAAGTGATTTGTGTACTGATGATCTAGCAATGCAGTTTGTACTTCATGTAAGTACTCACAGTTCATATACCATGGTAACTGAAATTTGAACCATGTTGTTGTAGGAGAATAAGCCACTTTCAATAATGAATAGAACAACCAGACAGAAGATCAACCAGGAAAGAGAAGATTTGAACAACATTATAAACCACTAGACTCAATAGATACCTATAGACTACTCTATTCAATAACAGCAGAATATATTGGGTTGTCGGAAAAGTCATGACATATTTTGTCTATGTTTTTCAAAGGTCATTTATTTATATAAAGAACAAAGATCAATCAATGATATATTGCCCATTTTGTT